TAGGCAAAAAATCAATTCATTTTTCCGGTATGCAAGAAAATTCAAGGAAATAATAATATTCATCGAATTTATTTATGTATTTATGTCTTATTGGCTTATTTAACTGAATTTTTCTTTCGGTTTAGAATTCTTAGGAAATAATGGATGAGCAATCACAATTTTCATTTGAAATTACTGAATATAACGGAGTTGTGGAGTTGCGGAATTATGGAAAAGTGAGAAAAAAAAATAGTGTTCCCTGAATAATTCAAATAATATGGGAGACATCCCCCAATAAAACGAAATTTCGGAGTTTCATTTCCATTTTGCATTGCAGAAAATTAATTCTCCCTGCGTGAGGGAGAAATTTAATCAAAGTAGACGCAGAAGTTGGCAAACGTCCTTGTGCTCAAATATCCGAGAGCCACAACTCCTGATATGGTCAAATATCCTCAAGTATAAACGAAAGCTGCATATTCCGACAATTGCACTCTCGACGGAGTCTTTACGCTCGCTCTGAGCAAATAGTTGAAATGAGACTAAATCGAAATAGGCACTGTATCCGTGCATCTTGGTTATACCACGTGCCGGCGATTTTACGGTTGCTTGGCAACCTGAAGAGGTAAATCGTTGCTCTCGGTGGGGAGCCAGGAAAGGATTTGTGTTGGGTTGCACCCGGAAAATTCAAGTCATACATCGAACCTGGTGCAGAGCCCAGTGATACAGACTGGAAGAAAGACCGGAGAAATGTGGCTGGGGGATTTTCACCGAAAAAGTGGCTTCAAAGCAATGCCAAATACAACTCTACTTTTCCTCCTTCAGCTGTTTGCGTATCTTTGCTTGGGTATGTTTGCTCGTTTTCAATGAGACGCCCGGGTTACAGCTCCCAGAATTCCTAGCTGCAATGGAACTCCTCGGTAACCCGGATGTATATGAGAGGACAGGGTTGAAAAAAATATTTTTTACATCAGTGAATCCTTGACGGTTGTGCAGGACAGGATCTAGTACAGGGAATACCAGGAATTATATTTCGGAGAGTCATGTCAATGAATTTTTCCGCGGAAACGAGTCAGTTCAAGAGTTTAAACTTCTTTTTCGTAACCTATGATCTTTGTGGAGGAAATTTACTTTTTGTAAATTCTAATCTAAAATCTATTTTGGCGATAGATAAGGAAAGGAACGAATAAATAAAAGTCGCTTTCCTAACCCAGATATTTTAGATCAGGCCCCGGGAATACCCGTAAAAATTGAAAATTGTGAATTAATCCTCATTGAAATACTAAGTATTCAAGAGAAAATATAACAAATGTGACACTCTCACAATTGACGCACTCCTATTCATTTATATATATTTGAATAGAGCAATCTGGCAATTAATTGAGGACTGCAAATTTCAATAAATTTTCATTAATGCGCGGACACTGTCACAGCTGTATCAATACCACTGGGTAAATGATATAACTGACATTTTGATTGATTATGCCACATCAATAACTCGGCTTATGCTGTTGAAAAGTCGTAAACCCGTCACAAAAGCTCATCTGATAATGTTCAAATAATATTGATAACATGTACTCCTGTCACATATTTATTCACACTATTTGAAGTATGAATTTTCTCTTTACACACTCAAAAGAAAAACATTCAGCTAATTAAATGCATTAACACCGAATAACTCTGGTTGAGGCAATAATTCAAAGAGGATAGATATTTTTACCTTGGGATTTCAACGATTTAAATTCCAATTGGCTATTGTATCTTCACTTAGTGGATACGAATGATCTATTCTCTACTTTTTCTTAGTATTTTCGGTATTCGCGGGTGATTCTAAAAATATAAAAGTTCCCGGCGCTTATTTTTCTGTTTATATTGAAATCGAGGAAAATTTTTTACTCCAATTTTTTCATTTTCCGTTTGTTTTTTTCAACTCTGAAACTATCTCACGTGCTAAGATGATCTCATGCACACCATTAAAATTTCAAGATTAATGCTTGAGCCGTTTATTAATGCCTGAAATATTCGACGAGTGGTATGAAAGAGCACTTTCAGAGCGGATGTTGGGGGTATAAAAAAGACCATTCAACGTATTAAATTCTACCGTATTTCTTTCAATGAGGAAAATGTTACTTCGAAAACTGAATTCGTGTGTTTGATAATTTATGGAAATTCGCAAAGTTATGTCATATATCATAAATTTATAATCAACAGCATAATAATTATTATTATTTCTATGAATATTTTATCATTTTTATCACACTCATCTCATTCAGTCTTATCCAAGTAAAAGGGATAAAAAATATCACATCGGAGATATCACCTTCTCAATCAGCAGCAGAATTTTTTTAATTCTAAAAGTTACCGAAGTACATGGAGATGATATAATTGTGGAGATTTCTTTGAAAGAAAATGCATGACAGAGAAGTTAATTCGGAAAAGTTCATCTTTGAATCGAAAACTACTTTATTTTCACTGGTTAAATGAACATCTCATGGGAATCTACTGACGTAATTTTTTTCTATAAGTGATAGAGATTTTTAAATTAGAAAAGTTATCGAGTGATATGCTGCTGCGATGTAAAGTTTTGTACACGAAATTACGGAGAATATCCTTTGAAGTAGATTCCTGGAATGAAGGTGATATTATCAACATGCCGCGGTGATTAGAAATTTCGGAAAAAATAATCCCCAACAGCAATGAGATTGCCATGGATTTAATTTGCTTCTAGTATTGAACCCCCGATCGAAATATGTGCGGAGGAAATTTAAAAAATGCAACATAGGATTATGAGAAAAAAAAAGGGAAAAAGGTAAACGATATGGGGACTTCCTCACCGGACGATAAGCCGTTTGAAATACGAACGAGCAGAGGTATTTTCGCCGGGACAATATTTTCATACTCCGACGAGTCGATAAAACGTGCCGCAATACTTTCAGTAATTAACTGTCGTGAAAAAAATGATTAAAAAAGAAGTATTGAGGGGGAAAATGAAAAGAGAGTATTGAGAGAGTGGAGAAAAAAAAAAGAAAGAAAAACAAGTCTGCGGAAATGTTGAGAACAAAACGAATGAAAAGTGGAAAAAGTTGAGTGGCTTCCCCCTGGCGCATAGAAAGATGAGATGGACAGGGGGTGCGTAGAGCAGATGGAAAATGCAGTAATGGGCCGCGGCTGGCATGATGAAAACTACGGTGGAATGGATTAATTATCTCCTCACCTCGCCTTCATTTTCTGTGACTTTTTCATTACTGTTGAATCATAATTTTGTCATTACAAACGGAATCGTTTCTTTTGCTTCCGGCAAAATGAAATTGTTGAATTGTAATTTGAATTTTAATTGTAGCTTCACATCAGGACGCTCTTTATATTTTCAAATACAGAATATCAGTTTTTCAAAACGACATTGTTGGAATTGAAAGTTGAGATGAGTACTCATTCAAGCAGAGGAGAAGAGACAGAGTTCAGCATCAGAATCGGAATGTTAATATAAATTTTGCTCATTCTATCTCATCGTAATATCATCCTCAATTCTGAATATGGCATGCAGCAAAGGAGACGATCTTATCGAAGTAAGAAGGATAAAAAATCTGACATCAGAGGTGCATCTTTTCCAATGGGTGATATTTTTCAATGAGAAAAGTTAGCCAAGTCCATTGGGACGATATAAAGTTTCTTATGCGAATCGTGAAGAATATGATTGAGTGAAGGAAAAATGAAAGCGCATCTCGAGATTAATATTGACAAAAATCAGTAATTTGATAATTCAAAACATTTAACCAAAATCAAACAGAATATTCGTATTCCGTGAACTTAGCCTTTTGAAGTTTCTCTCAAAGGCAATGAACAAGTGATCGATATTCCCGGTTATAACGTCAATCAGGGGATTGGAAAGAACTTTGAAGGATTCGTTGAAAGGTCTTGCAAACATGAAAGTTCAACAAAACCGCGGCTGCCGCGATCCTATCGATTCTATTTCTCAATTCATGAGGAAGATCAACATTCCCTTAAAGACAACAACATCACTACAACTCCAACACAGTGAATCGAAATTAACCGAAGACGCTAGACGGTGGTGTAAACACATTTGAGAATCAATGAAGATGAAGGTGAAAGACAGGGTGAACGATGGCTTCAACTACTATAGCTGTATTTAGCTTGTTAAATAGTGGCGTCGACTCAAACAATGGTATCCTAGGGCAATGTGACCAAGCCCGCTGCTACAGAGACTACAACTCGGTCGTTTAATTGTATAGTATTTGCTCATTGTAATTATCCAACCTGTGTGAATGTCTTACCAGCATGTAACTCCTGACAGTATCTCTATATCTATCGCATAGACCTACCCCCAGGCGCCAGCCTCGTTCTGACCTTCTAATTGCGAACAAATATACTAGCTTCCTCGGTGAGAATTATCCTGTATTATAAACGCGGCTGCATGCATCTAGAAGTCTGACTATTTGTGTGGCAAACTTTTGCGGATTATGCGTGAATAATAGCATGCATAGTATACCGTAATATGAAGACAAATTTACAGCGTTTGTTGTGAATCACATAACAGATTAAACTGTTGGATAATTATTCTTGAAATTTCCAGTTGAAAAAATGAGTGATGTGGCGTTTTTTAGAATTTTTCATTGGTAAATCCGTAAATTGTTTGAATATTCTGATAATTTCTTTGAATTTCCAATTATTGCAAATTCAGTTGTTCGTTAAATTCATTCCGTGTTGAATTATCACGAACATTTTTCGTGATATGAACACGAACTATTTAAAATCAGTAAATAATGTCATAATCAAGAGAGCAGTAATTTTTTGTCCGCTTGAAGACAAAGAGTGAGAGTGAGGACTTGATCTATTGCTGAAATTTCCGAAAATTAACTAAAAGACCGCAGAACGAAAAAAGGCCAGACAGGGAGGTCGCTGCAGGGCACTCGATTTAATTACACGTTTCCTCCGGGGAAAACGACACATTTTTCCCTCCCCAAGTGCCCCCACCCGTTTCCCCCCCTTTCTGGTCAATTACTCACCGATTGTGGTGAGTACAGTGAGGGAGTAGAGAAATGCCTTGGCGAAATTCCACTCATACTCCGGCAATTTACGCTCACTAGTCGGTCCATCTGTATTGGCATCGCTGTACGTAACAGTCTGCTGATTCATTATATTCTCGGTTATTTTTTTCACAAGCCTATCTTGAAATCTGGCAATCTCCTGCTCAGCAAGACGCGTCCAATTTTCACGATAGAGGATATTGAGGTGTTCCGTAATCTCCCAGATACTCTCCACTGTTTGTTCCCGAGCGTCTCGATTCACCTAGAAATGAAAAAAAAAAAAAAAACGGTACATACAATTGCAGTATATAAGGATTTGAGAACAAAACGTTTTAGAGAGCCTTTCGATCGTCAGCACCGTTTGTACTCGATAACCGGAAATAATTGCCAGGATTGCACCGGGATGGGGGAATGAAGGGAAAGGGCCAATTCGCTTAAAGCACTCTGTTCCGGAAACTTGGGGGAAATGGGCGAGACCTACGAAAGCGATGAGAGGAGACTATCACGATTTGCGATAAGTTGAGGCTGAAGAGATAGTACTGCAGAACTGGTAACTATAAATCACCTTTTAGTGGCTGTCTTTGAATTATTTATTTCGCGTGGATCTATGGGAGTAGTGAGAAGGTTATCGAGCCAGTGGAAAATAATCGAAGAAGTGCAGATGGGTGATTGAGAAATAGAGAGAATTTTACAATGGATTGACGGTGAGAAATTTACTTATTTGGTTTTAACTCGATCCCTGTAAAAGATTGCCTCTAAAAGCTGGTCTGAATGAATTGCAGTGGTAAGTATTAAAAGGTTTCCATGTGATATGAACTAATTTTTATCTATCATTTGAGTTTGGTTGAAATATATTAATGAATAATTATTATCCTGTGTTTAATTAATAGCTTGGTCCTCGTGATATACATCAATGAAAAATGACGTACAATTTACACAATATTTCTCTTGCACGTCACGACGACACGTGTGAAAATAACTGGTAACCAATAAAAATAATAGAGAAAAGTACCGCAGGAGAAAAAAAAATTAATTTCTTTGGAGTTGTATTATTTGTGGCCGTATCTCCGCCGAATTTGCGGATACGATGCTTGTCTTTTGTTCCGGGTCAGAAGGACGGGGTTTTATTACTTGGTGATATTTTTGTTTCTCTTCTTTAGTGTTATTTTTATTGGTTTGTTGTATCGGTTTTTTATTGTGAAGACAAGAAAGCCGGTAGTGACTGGTATCAAGAAGATTTAATCTAGAATGTTCCAGCAAGTAGATGAATGCATTGGTGTAAACTTACCTTGTTCAGCCATGCGGTGTTGTTGTAATGAATCGGTTGGTTGTTGTTGGCAATAGTAGTTGCAAGAGTTTTCTGGTGAAGAGCACCATCGGCGCCTCCCTCAATCGCCAGGAAGATGAAGCTCCCAAGGAGCGTGTACGCCACAAGAAGAGCACAGATCCCGAGATTTATCATAAATCCCTTGAGAAATGAGTGATGGCTAGCTTTATCCGGAACTCCACCGAAGCACAGACACCTGATCTGCCTGGTCTGCGCTTTAGAAGGTGCATTTGCCCTCTTCAGGGACGAGGTGTTGCCGTTGTTAGCGGCCTTCAAGCCCTCATACGCCCTGTAATGCCGATCCTTCTCCATCTTTTCCAAACCACAATATTCCCTCTCTCCTATATCCTCTCACCGATATAACACCCACACGCAACACCTCTATCTCCGTTAAACTTCACTCCTAGCATCCGGTGTCGAAGACTATGACGACAGTGGAAATCCGAGAAAGCGATAGCCAGCATTTATCGCACCAGAAGTCAAACGTTTGTCAAGGAGAGGCACAACGGAATGTGCAGAGGAGGATGATGTGAGGGTAGGGGAAAGAGGTCACACCCCCAGACTCACTCCAATCTCTGATCTCCGTTAGGAGCTTGCTGACCCGACGACGCCATTACCATAAATATTGTCATGTTTCACCGGCGATTCACCCTCTCGAGAGCATACCAATCCGCCATATTTGCTATCCACACTCGGCACGGACTACCCCCTGGGGGATAATAATTTCGTTTTATTTCAATCTACACTGGCTACGATTACCATGGAAATGGTCTGGTGTCTCCTCTAGGTAAATCTCTCCTTCTCGGAAAGATGATCGAGTTGGTTTATTGCATCACTTGCCAATTGCCACTCGAAATATAGCAATTTGGTGTGCTGAATCGATCGGTTAATTGCGGAAGGGACGAATAGCAAATCGTGATTAAACGTAAATCGCGATACTTTGTCACCGGACGAACAGCCTTGCACACCACGCTACGATCCACGGTGAATAATTCATTCCGCTTTTCCCACTTGTGGAAATGGTGTGTGCAATGCGTGTGTGCAACACTCCAGGGGGTGACTGTGGACGGTGACTGATGATGTTTCGTGGCTCACGTGAAACCGGTAATCGTTGCGATTATATCATTTGCACACGAAAAATTATCATGACATATTTATTCTCATTGCTGTGTCGTCAATTTCACTAGTGCTCGTTATGGCTGTCCATGTGATGCTCGTGGTAGTGGTCATTTCTGGGTGCATGATCACTTGTGAAAAGTACCAGAGAGTGGTGAGCTTGAGTACATAGCCGAGTTTTTCACGCTATCATGGCGATTGGAGGATCATTAGCACCTGGTGATAAAGCCCCATGGAATTGAATACTAGTAGGGAGTATAGGGAGTTTGTGCTCTCCGAGTTCGCTCAACCTCGGCAATCGTCTGTTATGAATATTTTTTCATCGAGTGGTCCTATGAGGGACCTTCTTCAGGCACTCTAACATATCCTCACTGTCCCGTCACCAGTTTGATGATATCCCAGGGGTTTATCCAATCTTCTGCAAATCACGAGATACGGGGCTTTTTGTTCCTATACTCTCTTTTTTATTCGCCTGGTGGTTTTATGTCTCAGCCAACCCAAGACGCCACTCCGGAATTGTCGATTCCACCAGGTGACGGCGCTCCTTAATCTGGAAGAAAGACGAGAAAGAAAAATTCAGTTAGGTGTCGGCGGTTTTAACTCGTTATCTTCGTTATCTTCTACCTATTTCCTATTTCTCACGAGGCGTCGGCATTGCGTAAACTTTTTGGCATTGGAAATAGTCTTTGAAATTATGGATAAGTATCAGTTTTTACTTGTGATATTGAACTTTTCGCCCGGGGAATTAGCATTTTTAATCTCAGGTATTTGTAGTTGGATTTATAGTTTGGGAAGGATTTGAACTTCCAACGGAGGAAGAATAACTCGGGATATTACCGGGATTCAATTAATCTTAACAGAGTCGAGGAGATTATACCAATCTACGGAAGTGAGGAGATGATAATTTCTATGGAAATGAGGAAGATGCAATTTCTGAAATTACTCGAGGATTAATTATATGAAGGACAGATATCCGCTGGAGACGTTTGAGGGACAGTAAAAAAGTCATGAGAATAACATCAAGTTTGGAGTTTTATGTCTGGGAAATTCTGAGCGTACAGCGAATGATTACTCTGGTTGAAAGTGACTTATGTGCTTTCCCATTTTGATAGTCCAACTTGGACTACGTTGGGATAACGGTTGATGGTGATTCGAAGTAGCACGACAACGTTGAGGGACAGTGACTGATTGGTTCGAGGTTCAAGGGGAAATCGTGTGGAAAACTTTCCAATCTCGAGATCAGTCTCATTGTTTTCGCTTCACCGCGCGTGCTACTTGAAGGATGCATGCAGAAAAAATTTACGGGATATCAAAAAATTTCATTTGAATGATGCTGACAATTGTAAATAATGTTGAGAAAAACGGAAAAAATTTCCAGAGGAAATTTATCTCCTCCAAATCGGGAAATATATATATTTCAGGGTGCCCTAGTTGCTGCAGGCCCCCCTATAGATTATCCTAAGAATCATGAGCAATACGATTTTCCCAATTTATTGACATGATCGCGAGGGAAATTTATGGAAAGAATTTCATTCGTTACTGTTGCTAAATTCAAACGTGACGGATTTCATATCAATATTAGTCTGTCAACGTCAGCAGAATAATTGTACAAACAGAGCGAGAACATCCTGACGGAGGGTTGTACCATTGACAATCCCGGAATCCATATATGCATGACCACGAGGGTAGCTTGAAGAATACGTCAGAAAGAACGAATATATGTTTGCACATGCCTTCCGGATAGTGGATACCGACAGAGAGTCTGTCGGGCTTCCACAGTCGTTAACTCGCGCAGCTGAAGGCCTTTGCACATCCGCCGGAAGTTACAAGATCTAGTCTGGAGGATATTTAAATCGACATCTCAAAGGCGTACATAGGATTTTCCGAATACACGGCTGACTCCGGAAGTTAAGTCGTCATCGTCCTTGTACTGCTGGAGAACGATTTAAATTTCAGGGACATTTTAACGGTAATTTTCAGGGGAGACAATTTTAAGTCAATTTGCCTGAAAAAGTTTTCGAGTTTCAACGAAGCTCCGAGCATTTTAACAGAGGGACGTCCATAATTCGCAGTTGCCTTCAATTTAACGTAGAAATTGATGAATTAATGGAGATAGCGCAACTTGTTATTAATTACTATTTGGATGGAAGTGTAGTTTTCTTCAGAGAATTAATTTTAGATTTGTGTAGTTGATATAATTTTGACTCTAGGACATATTCACCTCGAAATACCAAAACCGCGAGTCATGTAGTATCGGTGAATATTTACGCAAATGGCTTCGTTTTAAAATGGTTTCAGATAAGAACACCTCAATTTTACCATTTTTTTTTACAGATAAAACATTGAAAAACCGTTTGTTTAGTTTGACTATTTACTAAGAATTATTCAAATTCGGTAAAACAGATAAAAACGTGAATAATTCGACGTAGAAGAAATATTTCTACGAATTTGGGTGAGAAGTTTTTGCCTGGAATATTTATCTAACCGATATATATCTAAAGCAATATTTGACGAAGGTGTTTCACAGCGCAATTGAATTTTTTAAGGCTGCGAGATATAAAATGACGCGCGTCTCAAAACAATTTTATGGACTAAATGTAATTAACCAATGGATGATTAAATTCGACAACTACTTCCATCAGGTTGTGACAAAATCCACACAGTGGGGAGATAATAAAACTATATAAATTCAGGTGTTGAAACCACACATGGTATTAAGGTTCCAGCTGTACGTAGGAATAAATTGATACAAATTCACCAATATGAAAACATTCATTCTTCTTTGCGCTGTCCTACTATCCGTAAGTTCAACTATAATTTCAACATTTCTCTGAACACTGTTATAAATTTCTTTAATTTCCATAAAACCGATTGCATCCAAATCCCCACTGTATATTGTGCAACGAACAGATATGAAGTTCATCTGAATTCCTAGTAGCTTCAGAATTTAGAAGAGCAATTACTTGAATTATCAATATTTTCACGGATTTTCAGTGTATTTTTCCATATTTTAATGCTTTCTTTCAACAGATAAATCAGACGCTGATATCGTACGATAATTATTGTAATATTAGTTTCAGGAAATTGTTTCTGAGGAAAATGATGATGAATACGATAACAAACGTTCTCGCGTCACTTCGGGAATCCGCGATTTGTACGACCTTGCGCAAAATTCGAGGGATTATGCGATCCGTATGAATGATGACTTTGGTGAAATCATAAAGGATGCAGATTCAAGCTATAGTTTACGAAAATATGAGTATATTCGAGAAAAGGTATTTGTCATTGTGTAATTTGATAAATCAGCACTCCAGTGGATTTCCAATAATGAATTTAATCACCATTTCAGTATTTAGCTGAAAAATCAAAATTCCAAGATAAAACAGGATACGCTGATTGTTTGAAATATATTAAATCAGTCCTTACAAACAATGACAGACGTTTCTATCAATTGATCGATACTCAACACGCCGTTATAAAGCTCTGGGCGATAGCTTTGGAGGATTTTGACAAATGCAACACGGAAAATAATAATTTTTCCAACTGGACACAGAGTGCCAACGATTGTGATCTCTTGCGCAAGGAAAATAACTTAACGACTGCCAACAATTGTATAAACAACGTAAGTATTTGTTCAATTATTATGTATTCTGCATAATAATTCTGTGATGAAATCTCCTTGGAAATAGTCGTCTTCACCGAAATTATATACTCAATTTTTATTTTAATTGTTACATTCTTTATTCATTTTTTTATTGAGATGTTCTCGTTTTTCAGGTCAACGAAGGAATTGAGTCGTACAAGTCGTATGTTGAAGAATTATTTTATAATGCAACTGAACTTCTAAAAACAAGGAAAACCGAGGCCCAGCAGCAGCTGCTCGAGTTACTTCAAGGGGAACTCGACCCAAAATTGAATGATGATGAAAGTCTGGACGCAGGACTGAGAGTAAGTAACAGATAAATGAAAGAGAATTGTCAAATAATTTCAATACATTTCCACATTGCAGCAATTCTGTTCGAAGAAGTCAGAGGAATCCCAGTCTTAAGCTACATTAATAATTAATAAAGCTTAAGCTTTATTATGAGATTATCTAAACAATAGGAAGAATATGAAAATAAACTTTTAATTATTGTATTAACGAATTTTGCGGTTCCACGTGAATAATACAAATGAGTGATTACTCAAAAAATATCGAATTAATTCGATTACGCTTTCCATTAAAAGAATATATTCTGCAGACTTTGTATTATATTGCAGGAGATTATTCAGTCAGTCATTGTTACAATGATTAATGGACAATAACCATAATAATAATAAAGAGGAGCTTTTTTATTTTATCAGTCGAATCACGTTTCACGCGTTCATGACTTGCCCGTTCAAATACGATATCAGGTATATAATGGACGCAATTAAATCATTATATTTGAAAATAACTTGTTCTCAATGCCTGAGTGAGAATTATATTGATTCCAAAAATTGATTATTCTCAAAAAAGCGTTTGGGTCAATTAATGAAGTAAAAAATGATCTTGAATCTCTCCGGCTCGGACTTGATTCAGATCGTCGATCCGATCTGAAATAAACTGATTTCCGAAATGACTCAGGTGGACTCAAATCAAAGGGATTATTTCTTGGTGAGTATTTACATGTGTGTGAATCGGCTTTAGTCGTTGAATTTTATCCCACCAGTTATCGAGAGCGGTGTCAAATCAATTTTTCAATTTTCTCACCAAGAAGATCAAGAGTATAAGATTGGCTGGGTAATGTACGAGAATTGATCGTGAAGAGTTAAATATTCAATTGACAGGTAGCGACTGTTAAATTGATATACACGGAAAAAAAAATACTGAAAAAATTCGTGAAAATTACTGTTGGAAACATAAACGCGGGACGAATAGCGAAATCGGAAAAAAATGAATTGCACAGGTAGGAAAATTTACGCATTAGTCCGGTACCATTTACTCTGGCATGTCAGGCATTATTATGTCGATCGTTACTACACACCCTGTCGATGAGTCAACATGGCTGCCGAGGGTTCGTCTTTACAACCGTATAAAAAGTATGATTCTAGTACGTAAAATTTACGTGAAATTGATGAGTTTAGATAAAAATAACTGAAATCATTCGTCAGCATACGATTACATGGATAATCACGTACTATATCCTGTATTTTTCTATTATAATACTATTGGGGCTTTTCTGTATTAAAATGGTAAGTACTTCTTAGTAAGCATATATGTATAGGTACAGTCGAGGGGTCGACAATTCCGAATTACCGGCGTCATATATTAGCATTGATAACCCAAGGTGAACCTCGGAGGGAATCTTCGAAGATAACCTACGAGGGGAGAATCGAAGACTTGTCGATTTCGATAAGACGGGGGAAAAGAGTTCATCGTCTTGATGCTTTCACAAGATGCAGATAGAAGAGCAAATAAGAGCGGGGGCTGGTGGAAAGCGGTGGTGAATGAAAATGCAATTTTTCCGGTCGACGATTTACCTCAAACATCTCACTTTTTTTTGCCAACCTCTTCGTACTCCCGACATT